CCACCCCACCTTTGGCCTATACCCATTCTTGTATACATAAGTAAATAAAAAGAAGTCTTTAAAAAAAAAAATTTGTGCCAGGCATACAAATAGAAGAATTCCAGTAGTGATCAAACTCCTGCAACCCTGGAGCTTAAAATTTAGCTACGCTAAAATTTAAAAAGCAATCAAGTTTTTAAAATACAAAGTGTAATTAAGTGCTTTCAAGTAACATGTCAGTGACTGAGAGATTAAGAGGAGTGAACCAGTTTTTAAGAATGGTCTCTGAGGTGAAATTTAATTTGAGTCCTAAGAGATCCAAAAGAGCTATTAGGTGAAGAATGGAAGGGAATGCATTCCAGGCACAGGGAACAGGACATATGAGAGTCACACACTAGGGGCAGTAGGAACCGAGAGAACACAAATGTGACTACTGTGTAACCTCCCAGGATTTGGGGAACAACTTTTACAGGCTGACTGCCCAGGATTATCACATCTATTTTAAAAATAACAAAGATGAGTGGTCATGTATCTTGTCCAAGGTCACAACTACTCAAAGGAGGAGCTAGAACCCCAGAAGCTGACCTTCTTGATAGCACATCTGCTCACTCCCTTTGAGGAGTCTTGTACACATTGACCTCCCTCCACTTATTTCACTCACAACTGTTTTCCGTGCCCAGGAGTTCCAAAAGCACCTTGAAAGCACCAGCAACAGCATCTTACCAACTCCAGGCATCTAGCCAAGTGTGCACTGAAATCCTTCCCTTTCTACTTTTAGGACACAAGAGCAAAAAACGCTGCTCAGACCTTACTCAGAGGGTACAAAACAGATGCTCCTTTTTTTGTACAGTAATGTACAAGGAGAAAGGGGCTTAGTAGAATAAAAGAATGAATTCCTAAATCAGTGTTTCTCAATGAAGATGAAACCCACTCACCCACCAAGAATACCTGGAAAGTCGTGGAAACACACAGTGAACAGTGCTCAATGACTTAAAAAAAGGACAGTATGATCCTACAAAAATGTATTTATTATTCAAAATAGCTGCCCACCCTTCCTACACACATATACACTTTATATTCCTTTCCCTGAGAATTAATATGCCTGTTTCTTGTATTCTCATGGGTCAATGGCTCTCTCTGACCTCACTACAATTGGTTGCAAAAAAAGAAAACCTAAATGTTTCACAGCTGAAGAGTCTGAAATTTTGGAATCTGACAGAAGCTGATAGCAGTTAATGTAGAACCCAACAGAAAACATGGATAAAGAAAGAAGTTTCTACTAAGAGACAGACTTAAGAAATTTTAGCAGAAAGAGAATTCCCTCCCCACACTATGAATTACATTTGTTTTATAACACAAAAAATTCTGTGATTTTTTTTTAAAGATTTATTTATTTTGTGCATACAGAACTGGGGTACAGGCCAGAGACTCATGGGTGGTGAACGACTTCACCAGAGACAGAGTGGGGAGCAGAACAGGCAGATCAACGAAGTACACTGCTGAGGGGAGCAGTGGGTGGGTCAGGAGAGGTCTGCCACACCATGTGGTCACCTCCGGGGCAAGCGGGAATCAAACTCATGCAGAAGTGGTTTCAGCTTCTTAGTGCAGTGCTTTAGCCGGCTGCACCACCAGGGAGGGCCAAATTCTGTGATTTTAAAGAACCTTTTTATGGTGCTTTTCAGTTTACAATACATATTTATGGTAGTTCTTTAAAAAAAAATAACTGAATCATCTCAGAAATTATTTTTACCCTTGCTGGGATAGATTTTATAAGATTATTAATTTCAAGATGTCTGAAACGGACCAAGTATCTAAAGGTGCCAGAGGCCATCATGCTTGCATCTCATTCAGGGCAGTTTCACACAGGTCAAAGAAGCTCCAAAGGATATTTGGAGGTCTGTTCAGGGATTAACATACCATCCTGGCAATTACCATCCTGGCAATTCAAAAATCTCTTCCACGTGTTATTCTAAATTAAAATTGGGGGGGGGGGGAATTCATCCAGACCACTTCCAGAAATAAAGAGATCTAAAAAGCCTTACTCTATTTCAAAATAGCTAGGACAGGAATCTACTACATACATCAATCTTCCACAAGCAATCTTCTCTCTGCATAATATGTAAAAATTTTCAACTCCCTCTAAAGGATTCTGAATATGTTAACTTCTTCAACTTGACAACTAGCAAATAGCGGCCCACACCCCCTTCTAAGCAATTTTCTAGAAGCTGAACCTGGCTTCTCCAGTTATTGAGCAGACAAACCTGTTTTCCTCCAGAAGCTCGTGCCATTCAGAGCCTGGGAAATACACCTTCAGCTTTTCTCACACATCACAGTCCACAAGGTGAATTCACCCAGCTTCTTTGAATCTTCTCCCTCTGTGCCAACAACCTGGCAATAAATTCCTACCCCTGCCACAAATGCAGATCCCCAGAAAGACCAAGAAGTTGACAAGAAGAAAAAAGATGGAGGGAGGTGAGAGTCAGGGAGCCAACCCTGCTGCTCGCCTGCAGCAAGGCCACCCAAGCCCTGGTCCTGCAAAGCCTTCCGGGGTGGCTCCCTGGCCAGGCACTCCTTTCAGAAGGCCACACCTGTCTGTGCCAGTAGCCTGCTTGCTGCCCCATTTTAAACAATTCAAATATATCTTCAGCAGGAAGGAACAAATGGGCACCCCCTCTCCCAGCAAGAGGGAAACTTCTAATTCCAACACATCTTGCCCCTAGTTTTACTTCTTTTCTAATGTAGGTAGACACCACTCTCTTGACGGTGAGACAGGCACAATGCTGCAGTCACCAAAGGAAGCACTGAAGCCAACAAAGACCTTCTCAGAGGCTTGTGATGACAATCAACAGGAATTCAATAGGCGGGTTTCACTCTGCCCATTCACAAGTGAACCAACGCCCCAGTCCCGAGATGCCTGGCTATACAGTCTCACAGAAAGCCTCTTTTCTAGAGAGTGGATATCCCCAGTCATCCCTTGGCTTTGGAAACCAAAGAGAAGGCAGACAAATCCGAGTCGTGCACTCCACATCCAAATTTCCGCACGCGCGCGCATCTTTGGGGTGCCCCGACGCGCCCTCCCTTGCGCTCTCCCCTCCGAGGCCTCCTTTACCCCCGCGGACTCACCACTGTGCGAGCTGAACCACCTGGGTGCGATGTGCAGAGGTAGAGCATCCGCCAGCGAGGCGCGGGAGCCCAGGTACAGCATCCCGTCTCTATGGTGACCGCCGCCCGTCTCCTGGTAACCATTGCCATGGGCATAGGTGGAGTCGGACGTGGACCCTCCGCCGCCCGGCGCCCGCTCCGAGTCGCCGGTCCCTCGGGAGGCTGACGTGTAGAGGCCAAAGGGCACCCCTCCGGCCGTGCTGGGGTCCATGCCCATGCCCGCCACCGAGCTGACCGAGCGGCTGCGCAGCCCCATGGCCCCACCGCCCGCCCGGTAGTGCCCAAAGTGGGGCGCCCCTCCCGGCGGCGGCACGGCGCTGTCATCAGTGGAGACCCCCGGGAAAGGGCCCCGGGAGCGGGCCGCCGTGCTCTGCTTGCCCCCCATGCTCGCCCGAGCCCCGGTGGGGCGGGAGCTTGGAGGCCGAGACCCTCCCCCACTTCTCAGCAGCGGGGGGAGGGCTGGGCGAGCATAAAACGGGGAGTCAAAAAAAAAAAAAGAAAAGAACCCGGGTGGGGGAAAAAAGAAAAAAGAAAAGCAACCCCGCGGAGCGGAAGAGGCAAGCGGGCGGGGATCCCAAACTAAGAATTTCAAACGATCCAAACCGAACGCATGTTTCCCCTCAAGGTCCAAAGAAGCGCAGTCCAGCGCGGGCTCCGCGCGCCACAGGCCGCCCCCGGGCTCCCGAAAGCCGGGGGAGCCGCAGGGA